TGTCATTTTCACATTCGGCAGCGCGGACGAGCGATCGAGCGAAGCTAGATGCTTCGTCTCTGAGAGCGTGGAAAGCGATGATGACTTGCTCCTCAGGGATAATGTCCTGGAGGTGCATGAAGGAGTTAATATTTGCGTTTCGATTATCAAAATCTTCACCCTGCTTCCCACTGTAGGAATCAGGGAATTTCACTTTTACTCGCTCCCTATGTGGACGGGCTTCCTCCTCCTTTGGGGAAACAAACTTTATGCACTCTATGGCGCCTGTGCAAAATCGCTCTGTATTCGTTAACCTTGCTTTCATCTCAGTGCCTACATGCATCATCATATCGTGCGCAAGTTCTCTGAAGCCCAAGCGTATGGATTGCCAAGTGATATCATGGTCCCTCATAAACTGAAATTTCAACTAGGACTTCTATGTTTCGAGCCAGTGCTTCTATCTTCCCCTGAGGGTTTGCCTGACCTTCCATCCGTCTTCTCTACTCGTCCACCGCCCTCAAATCCTTCTCTATTTTATATGCCGCCTCAAGCCGCGTCCTCTTCTCTCTCGTGAGGCGCAATTTCCACTCCAACCTTTTCTCTTCATCCATTGACTGGTGGCGTAAAGGATTTTCCTCCGTCTGCAGCTCACTTATCACTGCCTCTTGTTCTGCCTTGGGGACATGCAACATCGCTTCTTCTTCTTCTCCCAGAGACAAGATGGCAACCTACTCTGACACCGTTTTCTCCATCCTCTTGTCCTCTTCCTTCATGCCGCTCGACTCCCCTTTTTCCCTTCTGACATTTCTTTCCAAAGGAATCTCTTCTTCTTCTTTTTTGTTTTCTTCTTCTTCTTCTTGTTCTACTGCCTTCAAACTCTCTTCTTCGTCTCTTTTTAGTCTCTCCATCTCCTCCTCTCAACTTTTTCTTCTTCGCCGCCTGCTCCTCCAATAAGGCCAACTTCTTGGCCTGCTTAATCAACTCCTTCTTCGCCTCTTTTTCTTTTCTCTCTTTCAACAGGGTGACAACTTGCTCTTCTTGAGCCTTACTATACAGGGTGGTGCTCATATCGGTTCGCGTGGCCACCATGGTGAAAGGTGCACAACCAAATGACAATTCCACTCCTCACCACTTGGACTTCCACCCACCGACTTACTGACTCTCTAAGGACCACAAAGTCCTCCCCCTAGTTCCAGCCAGGTTACCACTACGAACAAAAGCTTTCGCTACCACAGTCTGTTACAATCCTCGACCCAAATGCCCTGCACCTGCGGCTAGCCCTCCTTACTTTCCCTCCGGTTCAAAACCGTGTCAACTAGGGTCTCTAGCCTAGACCTATGGCTATGGCTATCACTACAAGACTTCACTGCTGATCAGGAGGCATTGAAGGAGATCCGTCGTAATTCCTCCGCCATTCTTTAACGCCACAGACAGGACGACGCGATCAGCAAGTCCGCTCAAGATTTAGACAGCCGGTTGTGCAGCCCACAACTCGGACTTTGGGCCAACCATGCCACACTGAGCAGCCCGCTCCTCCGGGACGCTACAAAGGGTTTGGTGTTTCTGAAAGGGGAAAAGGAGGTGAGGGACAGCGGAGCATCGACAACGATGCAGTGGAATCTTTACGGAGCAGTGGACAGCGTACAACAAACAGCGGATGAATGGGTGTGGAGAAGCATATCAAAACGGGTCAGTGGAATCTTTATGGAGAGATCTGTCGCGCACGCGAGAGAGAGAGAGCATTTACAACAGGGTAGAATCACGCAGATTAGACCTTTTGTTTCATAAAGTGGCAGGAAGATCATGGTAGGATCAAAAGGTAAAAAAGTGTGTGTGTGTGTGTGTGTGTGTGTGTGTGTGTGTGTGTGTGTGTGTGAGAGAGAGAGAGAGAGAGAGAGA